CATGTCTAGTCTGTTAAGAATTCATGGCGGATTTATAATTAAATGCCTAATTAGGATATTGCGTTTGCTACGTGGCAGCGAATTTTAATTTTGCACCGGAAATAGAAAGTTGTACGTTTGCTACAACAAACACTTGTTTTAAATATTTATGTGGGTATGCCAACTTATGTAACTTTTAAACAAAACAAAAATCTGTGACATGCGTATATAAAATGATATTTTTAGATTTGAATTAAAAATAAAAGCACAACCTAATATTTCTTTTTTTGAATGAATATATTTCTTTTAAAAGATAATACGGACCCTTTAAATACACCTGCGTTAACAAGTGTAACTTAAAACAGGTTTAGACAACAACAGATTTAACCGAGCATTATATTGCAAGATAAACCCTCAAGAAAATAATCCAGTTTTTAGTGGCGTAAGTAGTTCGTGAGAATTATCACTTTTTTATAAACCTGTTCGTAGGGAGTGGGCCGATGTTTTACAGTGAAATCTCAATTTAATATGTTTTATGAATTTTATTTAAGATTTTGGTAATGAATACTATTTTAAAATTACACTAAATAAGAATTCTTTTCATTAGAGTTAGATAACGATTTAGTTGATTGCATTTAATTGATTGAATAAACAATTAATGTCGGATGACGTTATATTAAATGTTTGATAATTTAATTTATTTACAGAAATAGTAATAATGCTAAAAGTAATTTATTCAAAATTTTTAATATGATATAACAGATGTAAAAATATATATTAAAAGTAAAGTAGATAATTGATACAATAATAATAATAATAAAATATTATTCAAATTATCTAAAGTATAATCCGTGAGAACGCAAAATTACAATTGAGTCGAATGACAAAGAGTTTATAAAAGTTGAACTCGTTTTCCAGTAAACTATATTCGTAATATCGCCCTCATAAAACAGGTTAAATATACTTAATAGATAAATTCTGACAAAATTCCCACAGAACATTGCTTTCACAATATTATAAAACCAGTCACATTCAAAGGGATGGTCATCGTCTCAAGTCAATAACAAAATCGAGATTGGATTTATTCAACCGGTTTAAGAATGGGGTAAAAACTAGACAGTCTTTTTATCGTTTTCAAATATTTTTACTTTATTGTAACATTTTATTCTTTTTTTGTCAGCAACTTTGTCCTCGGTAGAAAAATTCACATTTGTATAATTTAAACTTTATCTACTTTTACGTTATTTAGTCCTATTTATGATTTAAATAAATAAAATATTTGTAGTTCACTTCAATAAAAAAGAGGTCTTGTGAACATTATTTATAGATGAGGAAATACGTTCAATAAAACATACCAAATGTTGAAGATCTCTGCGCGGTTGCTTGTACCCATGTAAAAAGCCAACGTCTAAGGCGCACAGAGCGGGCGGGGTGTGGGTGGTTCATATACACACCTGCTTTACACTCGTGTGGGTGCATTCGCCGTACATTTCCTATGTGAGAGTTTATATTTTCATTTCAATAGTTTTTACGTTGCAACCGTAGGCGTGAGGTGGCCGTGTGTGAGTTAATGCCGTATTGATTTAGCCGCTATGGTGAAGTCGGCAAGAAATTTATTATCTTTAAGATAAGTAGGTACAGGTATTTTGTGCGTGCCCGTACCTGCTGTATAAGATGAATGATTTTCTTAACAGGTTTGTTTGTATTGAGTTTAGTGGTCTTGTTGTAGAATAATAGACTTTAATGTAGTATAATAATATAGCTTGTGTAATTCCATGAGTTTGAATAAGATTTTCTTCTCTGTCATTGTATACATCTTTTTAACTAATGTAAAAAAGTGTGTTTGTAACCTAATATGTGTATAGAAAAAGTTACCACGTTATATTATAAAATTATTATATATATGATTTAAAAGGTCTTTCTTACTTTAATTTGTGATTTATTCATTTTTCTGGCAACACATATTATTTTTTATAATTAACCTGCTAAATAAAGAAGCGTGCACAATTCAATTCCACGTCTTCTTAGACAAAAGATGCTCTGCGTTATTCTAATTTATTTTTTAAAAAACAATTAATATATAACACATATATAATTATTTATTATTAAAAGAGTGACACAGATAAAAACATAAAGATAATTATTTTAATACCTATTTAATAAATAGTAATAAAATATAACTACCACAGTAACTACTAATAAAATACTAATCAACTAACATCCACAGACTATAAAAATCCATCTATAAATAAAAAAAAACAAAACACATACCAAATGTTGGCAGATCCTGTGCGCGGTTGAAAAAGCAGCGTCTAAGGAGGCGAGAGGGGAAGGGGGTATATTTTAAGATGGCTTCCGCGCGAATATCGACGCGCCACCGCCCGCGCGAGTTTTACTGCCACTGATTTGTATCCTTTACTTACTTCACTTATTTTGGTGTGAAATATCAAATTTCATTGTTCCTTACATGTATAGTAATATTATTATTTTGTTTTAAATCTATCAACAAGTATTTTCAAATAAATACAGATTTTTAAAAGCGATTAAATATTTGTTTGTAGCTTTTAAACAGTATAACTATAAACTTTAAGCTTGCACTAAAAATCTTAATTTTATTTAATTGCCCGATATTATTAATTTGCAGAATGCTATTCAACTACATCTACCACGTGTGAAAAAAAGGCCTTAATTAAGAAGAACTCGAAAAAAATCCCTGGAACTTACAAAATAATAACAAGTTACAATATTATCCAAACAGTAAAAAGGATATGAAAAGTAGGAGGCTTGTTGTTACAATTTTTTTAATAGTATTCTTGTATTTTATTTTAATTAATAAAGAAGGTTTTAGTTTATTACTAAAGATGATATGTAGATATAGAATCGTAGGTCCATCTTGCTATAATTAAATCATACAACGGGACGTATTTAGGTGATCCAGGTGAAGCGAATAGTGTGAGAACTTGGTGCCGACGTTCATTCAAACTTCAACGTGAAATATCATCTATTTTCGCTGAAAGGTCAATCCTCAAAAATCATAGTATAAAAATAAACAATAAAAAAAAATTAAATATATGCTTTGTTCCTGAAGAGAATTCAATTTTAACATTTTTTTAATTGAAAATTAAAAACTTAAGGAATTACCTTCATAGAGAAAATATAGGACATATTCACTTTAAACACTGGTTTTTAATAATCAGATTAAAATTCGTAATTGAATTTTATCCTGGATGCGGAAATATCTTTATGTTAAAAAAACAGGTTCTTTAACTTTGTGATTTTGGATATAAAATTATTAGAATTAACATATAATTAATAAACAGTAGGTATTTAAATATTAATATATGTAGATATAATAATAATGTAAAATATGTATGGAAACAGTTTACTCTTGTACAAAATAGAATTTACTAATTTATTTTTACTTACTGTTGATTTTATATCTAATATGTATTTTTATTCATTTATACATATTAGACCAGGGTAGAAGCCTTTAAAAATAATAAAAAGTGAAAAAAAATAATAGTAGGATGCAACCCATTAGAAAAGGAGGGGAATATTATAAAAATTAAAGGAAAAATAATTTACGGGCGATCTGAGGTCGGGAAGGGGGTGAGGGGGGGTTTTTAAGGGTAAAAAACGGTTTTTCTCGATTTCCGGCAAAACTAAAAGTCCTATCGAAAAAAATCAAATGGCAAAGTTGTAGGTAATAAAAAGATCTAAAACTTTTGTATTTACACTTTTTCACATAACCTCAAAATTTATGTGAAAAATTCAAAAAACCAACTTATGTATAGATATATAAAAAATATGTATAGTATAGATTTTTAATATATTTATAATATATTTTTTATACATTTTGACATTTATTTCTTTAATATTTTTTTTCATGGGGGTATACTCACGATAAAATAGTGAAGGCATTATTAATTCGATTTTGTCTTTTCAGATTATCAGTATGGATGAATCTGTTTGTATCATCTGCAATAAGGCAGATGATAAGCAAGTGTATGAAATAAAAAAGGTTTTTTGTTTTTTGCATTTTCTCAGAAGATTTACTATAGTAAAATTTTTTTTTTCACCATCGGAAAGTAGAGATTTTAACGAACAGAAAACATACCAACTTTTTAAAAAAAGCTGATATTTTGACGGGAAAATTTTCGATTGAAAATTAGGGTGCTTTTTTGATATTAAGTTAAAATAAGGCGAAAAAATAAATATTTTTAATCAAATAAATTACAGCGTATTTGGGACATAAAAAGGCAAGTTTTCACCAAATTTCGTTAAAAAAAAATGTGAAAGATAAAAATGAAAAACCAAAAAGTTGGTTTTTTGAATTTTTCACATAAATTTTGAGGTTATGTGAAAAAGTGTAAATACAAAAGTTTTAGATCTTTTTATTACCTACAACTTTGCCATTTGATTTTTTTCGATAGGACTTTTAGTTTTGCCGGAAATCGAGAAAAACCGTTTTTTACCCTTAAAAACCCCCCCTCACCCCCTTCCCGACCTCAGATCGCCCGTAAATTATTTTTCCTTTAATTTTTATAATATTCCCCTCCTTTTCTAATGGGTTGCATCCTACTATTATTTTTTTTGGTTTCAAAAATTATCGACTCTGGTCTATATTTAGAAATATTAAATTGTAGTTCTAGCTCACTCACGTACATAACGTAGATACTCTATAGTACGAGTACCTGCTCTAATTATTCTATCATACGTAATCAATATTTTGAGCATCAACAACTCAATCAATATTTCGAATTTTTTTAAATCAATTTATACAATAAACGTATTAAATTCTAGTTTTAATAAATATTTTAGATTTATTAGAATTTAATAAAAAGTATTTTTTATAAGTTCCAAGTATCCTTATTTTTTACATATATTTAAAAATATGTACGTAAGATTGACTTTACAATTTTGACATTTTTGCTATTCTACATGTCACAATTCTGCTTTTTCAGTATCGATTTATAATTTTCTATATTAATCTTCTATAACGAATTAAATCAATATAAATCATGGAGAAACAAAGTGCAGATGAGCAACAATTCGAATCTCGACCAAGACCCGACGATTTCTCGAACTATCTGCCTTGGGCTTGCAATCAACTGCAACTAGATGCAACGATAATAATCAATAAAGTTATTCAAAGTAGGTAGCGCATATAATACTTACTTTCTTAGATTTACACGAATGTTTGATATTTTAAATAAAATTACCTATTCTTCGGTGCTTTTACTCTTGCCAAATATTGTAGGTATAATTTTTGTGTGTATACATAATACACTGTTTGTAATAACATAAATAATATAAATATAGCTTTGGAGAAATTTAAAAGCTTCGTCCTTGTGACCATATTTCCTTTATAGTATTCGTATACATATTCGAGTATTCGAAACGTAGGGAACAAAAAATTAAAATAATATCCAAAAATATAATTATATTTAAATTCGGGATTCCTAGTTTATATTCCATAAGATCTATTACTTATTTTTTTGGCAGTTTAAATTAACCATTTATGATTTTGCAGATGAATATGTCAGTGCTGCTATGACTGATCGGGTTAAAAAAGTAAAGAGTAAAATTAAGCTAAGTCAGTCTCGACATAACGTTGGCTCCGATCAAGAAAGAGAAGAAAAATCCACATCAAATCCGCTTCCATTACTTTATAATGAAAAAGTGGTAAAAATATTTACGATATACGACAGTTTCTTCAATTTAGTAGAGATTAGATTTGACAAAAATAATCATTTACCTAGATTGATATTTAAAATAATTGGCCTTATTATACAATTTCAACCGAATATAGCCAAGATCGAAATTAATGGGGGCATGGATGGATTCACTGTCTATGAAATAAATAAATTTCTTAACATCTCTAATATAACAGAGCTATGTTTTGATGGTTGTTTTTTAAAAGAAGCTAATTATGATATTCTTCTAGATACAAATAGTTCTCTCCGACATCTTTCTCTTTCGAGATGTAAAATAGACGATAATGTCGTTCTAAATATTGCTAACAAGTTATCATATCCTTTACCAGCTTCAAAGTCTTTATATATACTCAATTTGTCATCAAATAGGATTACTGATTTGGGAACACAATATTTAGCTCAAGCTCTACGATCTAATCGGAATCTAAGTTATTTAAATTTAGCTGATAATAGAATAACCGATGATGGAGCAGGATATCTGCTTCATGTTTTTGCTGAATTTTCGTTAACCAGTAATGAACTTCTTGAAGCGAGGTTTAGGCATATGGTATTTTTAAAGAACAAAAATATAATGATGGATCGCACTGTAAAAGAATTAAGATCTGGGGAATTAGATAGAAAAATAGCCAAACGTAAATTCACTAGATCTGTCTCTGCCGCTTCAGGTAAGAAAGGAAAATTGGAAAAAGAATCATCTCTCAAATCAATCGGAGATACAAAAAGCTTATTAAACATGGATTTTCTATATTATGATAAAGCTGTTAACATGGTTGAAAATACTCTCGGTGAATTTAACGATCCTTTTTGTGCAAATAATACAAATGTAAAGGAGGGTATGGTGTATAGCAAAGGCAATAATACACTATGCTACTTAAATTTAGCATACAATAATTTATCGTTTCTATCGCTGAAGAAGATTTTGGCAGTTCTCATGTTTCAGAAGCTGTTAGATAGGAAGCCAAGGGGATTAATCAATTTGTTAATTGAAGGAAATAATTTACCGGTTTCTTGTAAGGAAATGAATCAAATTGATGATGTCTTGGATATGGGGCTAATGGTACACTATAGGAGATTGTCTGGTAACAAGAAAAGACCTCAATCGAAAACTACGTCACGATAAATAATTTTAGATCGTTTAAGATAATTATTATTATATTCCTTTAATATCTTATTAGTTGTAAAATCTTATATTTGTTAAAACTAATTTTAATCTAATCATTAAATATTATGATATTAAATTTTAAAACATAGAAAAGTATTGCCACTCACGTCACACAGAATTATAATTTTAGGTTTTATGTTGTGATCATGCTTTAATCTATCAAAAAAATCTACCATACAACAGCTACAGGAAATTTCTAGTTATTTCATAGTTCCGTCCTTTCGACAAACGCCATAAATATAATTTTTGTTCACCATGTTTTTAGTAAATCTCTGATACTTTTTGATACTACCTCCCAGTCAAATATTTTTGTTCTTAAATCTTATCACAATATACTTAATAAACTAAATCTTTCGTTCGTAAATCGTTTGCAGTTTTATCGCAGTCATTGATTGGCATACAATATTAGAGTCACCTGATTGATTAGGATGAAAAGAACCCAACATACATTTTTATATCATACTACGTGTTAGTGTTTGACGCAATAAATAGACAAGCTCAGTTTTTTAGACTTTAATTACAATGTTGTATATATAATAGTATTTTATACATATTTTATGAAAAACAGTTGGAGCATTTACATAAATATCTAAGATGTCTTAGCCACATACCACAAATTGCGAATATCTAAAATCACGTCTCCCTCTAAAGGCAATAAAGCGGGTATGAAACGTATCATTAATACGTACAGAATTGGTTTACTTTATTATTCAGCGTATGAAGACGTTCGGTCTAATGGCTTTTATATGTCTTTCTATTCTACAATATACTGGAATGTGCTTTTGTTCTTGAGCTGTTTGAAAGATAGAGTTGTAACTGTTATATAATATCAATATATATTGATATTATTATATGACATCAATACAAAATTATATTTATTTAGAAGAGATGAGAAACTAAAATGAGAAATCCTAAAATTATGTTTTTTTTTATAAATAAAAAATGTTGAGTGCTTGTTTCCCTAGGAGTTTTTTGTATTCATAATATCATTACGGCTTTATTTAAAGGCTTTTAAGTAGCAAATGCCAATAAAGCAACTCAAGTACTCGTTTTTTTTCGATAGTATCAATTGAATTATTATAATTTCTAACAGTAAATATATTTTCGGAATAAAAGATAGCCTATAGCACTAGGCTTTAATTAGTAAAGGAATCTGATATCAGGTACTTTTAGAGATTAATTACATACAAACTTACAAATACCTCTTTATGATATTAGTGTGGATATACTACTTTAGTATCCGCTTTCTGGAATTTTAGATTTTTGTACCCAAAAAAAAGAAACAGCAAATAACGCTCATTATTATGATAAATATTTATATATTTGTAATATACTGTGATAAACCAGTACTTGTATATAACCAGGGTATTCTCTATAAGGATAATGTACAGTGTAGGTGATAATTAATCTATTTGTATTGTACTACTATATTAAAAGGGTACATACATATTTTACAAATCTTAATTAAATAAGCAGAATGCTAGAATTTGAATTAAATTGCTTTGAATGCTACTATATACCTACTAGGTACTCGTACCTACCTACTACACTAAGCAAAAAGTAAGTAAGTTTATCCGAATCTTAAAATAAAACAACAAATATATTTTCTAAGTGTGACTTAACCTTATAATCAACCGTTAATATTATTTATTTGTTCTATTTGTAAGTATACCTAATTTAAATAAGTAGGTATATGGTGCTATGTGCCAATTCGCACTTGACCAATTTTGTTTATCTTTTTGTACAGGCAAGATGTACAACTATCTAAATGTCGCATATTTCTTTAAAAAAGAAAAAATATGTTAATACTTAATAGCAATACACAAAGAATTTACACTTCAATTAGAAAATGACATTTCAATCTCATCTTCATCTTGTCATTGTCTATAACCCTTAAAGTTAGATCGTAATTAATAAAACATTAAATTTGAATTTACAATTCCTAAAAGCTATCCGCTATAATACTGATTTGAAATTGAATCGTTCGGAAATATGTTTAACTATGCTAAATATTATAGCTTGCCAAGCAAACTTCGCACTTACAGGCGTAGATGAAACTGATTATAGCAACATAATTAAGGTATTTTTCATTTAAAAGTTATCCTTACATTTAATTTTGTTTCAGCTGGTAAATTTTTGTATGTATCATCATGTCAGCCCTTTTTAACTTCCCACTGCTGGGGTTGGACCTCCCTTCAATGCGAAGGGGATCAGGATCCTACCACACTATCCAAGTGCGACCTTACATGTCTTTCTAGAGTTTGCTGGTGTCCCTCAGACTAGCGCAGTTCCTCATGATGTTTTATTTCACCATAAGACAGGTCTGTTCACAAATATCAGAGGTGCGAGACCCGCGATTTGAACCCGCTTCACTCGGTTTTCTTTAGCTTATTGATTATTAACATAATTTTGTATATTAATTGATTAAAAGTAATTACGAGTATGAATAGCAATACGAATATTTCGTTTCAGGATATACCTAATCGTTTTTTTTTGTTTTGTTGTAGGTACGTAAAATATCAGATCATTTATTGAAAAGCAGTTACAATATCCAACATACCAGCACATATATCTATTATCTTAGTTTCTGCCGATATTAAACTTTGAAACAATAGTCAGAACTCGAAAACATTAATCTTCAAACAAAACCGCGAGCTCAATATAGCGGGGGAGTGTATAAGTATATTTTAATATATCTCACGTAACGCAAGTAAGGATGAGAGCAAAATGGCGCCGCGACTACTTCTTAGCGCCGCGTGGTTGCGGCACTATTGTTATGGAGAAGGCTTTTTATTTTTAATATTATGCTTCTTTTATTTTCTTTGCATATTTAAAATGGCATCCCAATATACAGAAAAAAATTGAAGTTTACACAATTTTTGATCAGATAATAATATATTCCTGAAGTAATATGATGAATATGATGATGAATTCTTTTTTTCCTTGAAATATATTTAGAGAATCTAAAAGTTAAAATTCAATATAAATCTATACCAAATATAACATTACAAATATACCTAAACAAGAAATCCTTTTCTATATTTAGTAGCAGGCGCACAAAGTTATAATATCGCCGGTTTCGCGGGGGGGCGTCTTGGGTGGAGGTTCACGCCTTACTTATTTACATAATTACGTATAAATTCTATCTACGTGTGTGCTATGTACTGGAGTTTAATATTTCATTTTGTATTATAAGTGAATAACTAAAACAGACTTACTTTCAATGTTTTGATTACTTTAATAATATATTTTTTTACAATACATAATATTAATATACGTCAGTTTATTTGTACGCAGTATTAAGCTGCTGATAGATATTTCTCGCAAATACATTTGGATTGTTTTGAGAGTAATAGACTACTTTTTATTCTAGTTCTCAAACATTTTAAAAAAAAACAAACAAACCTCCTTCTTTCTAAGCTCGGTTAAAATATGTCATGAAGGATGGATGTGTAGTTAAGATTAGTCTATATACTCACATAGAATGTCTCATTTAACATGTAACTAAATAACTTCACAAATATTGGACTAAAAATGTTTTCAACCAAAGAAATTGAAAAATGGTATTTTTTTTTTATTTTTGATTTCAACCCGTTTTAGCTTTATTATGATTTTTTGAGGAAAAGAGAACATCGCAATATGTTTTCGGGGCGAAATCAAAAACATTACTAATTGATGCTGTATAAATAATTTCTTTGAGTATAAAATAAAATATAATTATTTACCTACTACCTATACAAACTTCAGAAATCAACATTATAAATAATGCATTAAATTTTTAATATAGGTACTAGATATCCCATATAATGGGAAATTATAGCTAAATTCTAGGAAAATATAACATACCTTGAACCTATAACATATTTATAAGCGATCACTCACACTATCCCACAAGTAAAATAACAGCTTATATTTGAAGTAATTTTATACGGAACCTTAGGGGTAGGTTAATAAGCCCCGAGGATTAGAAAGACGTCATTAAAATAACGGAGGCGTAAACGTCTTACATACACACATACATAGCTTATATGTAAGAAAACTTTATATAAATTTCATAAAATTTGTAGTTATACTTCACTGCCTTAGTTAAATATTATTATATGACTTTTGTTATTTCTTTTATAATTAACTAGCAGTAGGTATCCGCGGTTTCGCTAGCGTAGCAAACTTCTGATTGCTACTAAGCACAGAATCACCCGCTGGGCTAATCTGAAGATTGCCTAAAAATTTCATTAAAATCGCTCCAGCCATTTTGGAGTCCAAAGGCAATACCTATACGCACATCGATTTTTTTATTGTAACTAATATTGTGAGGAAGCTCATTAAATCCGGATACAAAAATAGCCTATAATATACAGTAAGACTTGAGGTAAAATCAGAGTAAATCACAAGTATTGAACCTGAACTCGTAATTTACGACGATTTACGAGGTTTAATAGTACAAACATCGTTTTTGTTACTACGCTCATTAAAATATTTTGGGCTTCTTTTCCGACAATGGCTTAAAATTGCTTTAACAAGAAACTTAATTTTATTTAAATATCTTAAATACGTTGAGTAAACGCTCAGTACAATTTGACGTTTGCTAAGCGTATTTAACACGTTTAAATCAAATTTATAATTTGGTGCAAGTTACGCTTACTCCTGTAAGCTTCAAAGATACAATATCTGGTGTAATCGGACTACTATTGCGTATAGGAAAAAATTGTGTGTGTTTATGTTTGTTACTTTTTCACGCTGAAATGACTCAACGGATTTGGATGAAACTTACAGACAAATAGACTATCACCTGACCTAACCTGTTTGGTACGTAAAGACTAGATGCACTTACTCGAGCAAAGTGGGGCGAGGTCGTTAGTTTTTATACAAAGACGTTGTTTTTTAAAGTCGTCAATCCTTGCCACAGCGAGGGTAGGTTTTTAACTATACCTACCTAAATAATACTGTATTAATAA